TTGAAATTATCAATTTCCCCCACCTTAGTAGCAATATACCAACTTCACCTGTATATGGGATATACATTTCCCAACTCATTCGCTACTCAGCCTATATAAAACGTCACCAGTATCTGAGCAGAAAGTTGATGAAACAGGGTTATGTCAAAGAACGTCCCCTCCTTTTTCTAAAAAAGTTCATCAGAAGATACCAAGTCCTAGTTGATAAATATTCCGTATCAACTTAACAAATAATACATGATGGTCTTGAAGTATTGATTCTAGGTACTGACGTTATTTATCCTCTTAGAAACGTGTTATAGTGTTCTTTTATTTGTCTTTGTAAATTATTAACCTTTGCTGTTTAGTGCATTTTTTGTAATATCCTTTGTACTTATACATCCCGCCATTGTGTTATTGTGCTATGGTAATTTTTTTTATACTTGTCTCTTATTCTTGCTTATGTGCTTTGTCTATACGCCATTTTGTTTTTCTTTATTTACAAATTTGTTTGTTTATATAGTGATTAAGATTAAAACACAATCATTGTTGACTGCTGTACCCCTATTTTTGACAGTTATACCTATTATGTCTGTTTGTTTTGTTCACACATTTTTGTCAATATAATGGAAATTTATGCGACTGCCATACAAGTGAGAAGTTTAGCTAGCTATAAAACCAGATTTAATCCACCATTTTCTACATAAGGAGATGCCTGTACCAAGTCGGGTTTATGACAGTTGTTTTCCTTTCGTTTGATGTGTTTGAGCTTTTGATTTTGTCATTTGATAAGGGACTTTCCGTTTTGAATTTTCCTTGGAGTATTTTTGTTATTTTACTTTTTATTACTTGATATGACCATGGAATCGTGGTATCACACTTTGTTCATGTGATTCTGCTAATGTCCTTAGAACCACGATGAAGTGGGTGTATGCATGTTAGGAGATGGCTAGCTGTTCATTGAATGTTACTCTGTGTTTATGTGTTAAAGCTGTTGAACTTAGAACCCTGAAAAAGTCGAGTTTTGTATTCCATTAGATGCTGACCTAGTCGACGAATCGGATACCACTTAGTGTTCATGTGATTTCGGCTTATGACTTGGGAACTGTGTGCTACATGTAGTCGATATATACGTGTCAGATAATGATCACCAAGTGGATAAATCTGGTGTCACACGGTGTTCGTGCATTCCTCTGATCACGTTAGAACCATGAGAAAGTCAATGTATGTATGTTAGGAAATACTTAACTGTTTGATGAATCTGATGCCTATATATGTTCATGTGATTCCGGTTTATGACTTTGGAGTTGTGTCGATGCAAATGAATGTTAGATGATAGCCACGTAATCAAAAACATATTGTGCAATTGTTCTTGTGACTCTAGCTGTTTTTACTTTTATGTTAGTCTGTTTATAACTGGACTTATTCCCTGAACAAATTTCATATGACCAAAAAACGGTATCATATGTTTTCTACCATCATCTCAGAACCATTGCTTTTTGGCAGACACTCCCCGGGAAATAAAAAGAGCTTTGATAGTGGCATGATTTAACTTCAAAATACGGAGCAGTCATATGATAGCCAAAGACAAATACCCATCAAAGTCTAAGGAAAAGTGTTTGAATTGAGGTCATCGTCCGACCTTCAACAATGAGCAAGAACAAATCAAAAGAGAAATCCGATATATGAAAAAAATGATAAATAAAAGATAAATTTCGCAGACAACAACTAACAACAACTGCAGTATCACTGATGAGCCTTATGGATCACTCCCGTATTTTTGCCTGGGGTTTGCGGAAGGTCTTTTCACTGCCCTGGGGTTCGTGTTTTCTCTGCAGTTTTTTGTGGACTTGTTTTTCATTTTGTCGGTTTTTTTGGCAATGGTGCTTTAATTTGACCTATTATTGTCCTTTTTGATTTTATTTTTTTTATCGGGCTTTGGATATGCACGAAAAGTATGTAGTGGCGTTAAAAAATGTTTTTCTTTCAACGGAACACCACAGAGTTCAAGTCCGATTTGTGATGGGGTTCGTGTTGCTCCAACTTTAGTTTTCAGTGCAGTCTTTTATGGACTCTTGTTTTTCCGTCGATTTTGTTTGGTTTTTTTTTTACTGTAGCTTTGTTTGTTTTAAAATGTTTCCCTCTATATCTTCTTTCTCTTTTGTCAGTTTATTAATCTATTAAATGCACATTAATTAAGGTAACTCTTAAACCAAAGTTAACCTCTGATGGATGTTTCAGCTGTTTGGTTAGACAATTCCACATTTTGTTCAAATTAGAATTTAGTAGTTGGACAGAATGAATCTTTTGGTGTGATAGCCTTCGAGGTGGATTTTTGTTGTTATTTCGTTTCTATTTATTGACATATTTAAAACATATCCACCAATTCATCTTACCAGAAGCCGAGTTAAGCCTGATTTTGATGTTTTTGTTATTGTGAAGGATTTAAGATCCAACTTCTCGATTGAGCATTTGCAATTTTAACTCTATGGATAATATAAACACGTTAAAGTTATTTTTCGAGCCTTAATGTAGCACTCTAATCGGTGTTTTTTTGTTATATTCCTAGCATTTTTCCTCATAGTATATACAAACTATGAACTTTGTCAGTGAAAATGTGAGAAACAGACATATGGTAAATTGCTTTGTGTTTCCATGTAGGTTACTTGTTTGTTGTGATTCGTCACGGTGTGTCCTACTTCTCTTTGATCAGAATTTGTTTAATTCTTAATAGACATTGCTCCTACGGGAATATTCATCATCAATTACATACTCATGGACTATGATAATCTCGTTCTTAATCTTGTATGATGCTCTACTTATTTTTGACTTTTTCTATTGTACCAACACAATTGATAAACTATTAACATTATTTATTATGCTCTGATCAAAACTTATTTTTGAAAAGGAGACTGGATATGTATGTTTTTTTACACCTGACAGATCAGAACACCTGCTTTTATATATTTTAGGACCATTCTGTCCGTGGTAGTTAATAAGAAAGCTTTATGGATAACATAATCATTGTAATGTAAATTATTTGCATTCAACCATAAAAACGAACGATCCATACTCCATCGAAAACGCAACAAAAATTGATTCAAATTAATTTGATTCCTATCACAAATACAAAGACATCAATTAGCATAAAAAGCTTTTAATAATATTAATTACTGTCTAGGATCACGAACAGTTAGATGCAAAGTGGATATCAATCCCACGGGAAGTTCAGTATATTAAACAGAGTTTCTGTAACCATTGTTTCGTATATGAACTTATTAAATTAGCATTCGCCGTGATTGGCGTTTCGGTATTGTGGACAATAATAGGGTACTGTATAAAGATCTGGTAATTGAGTTAAATACTATGATCAATAGAGGATTCCGTCAGAAATTATTATAAATCTGGACACGTTATGTTAACGGCGGTAATGACTGTGACAGTTCGATGGCAAATGCACAACATCTCAAAAACCTCCCTAAATTGTTTTCGTACAAATTATGTCTGACATATCTGCTAAATCAGTTCGCTTGGTTATTAATATAAGTATGATTTGTTGTTTCTAGTATTTTTCAGGGTTAGGCACATCATCTTATCATTGCTTTGTAGTCACAAAAAGATATACTTGACTTTTGTGATTTCAAGAAAAAAATATCTAATACAATATTTTATATCATTAGTTTTGATATGATTGTTAATTAATATTCAAGGACTCTTATGCCAGCTTAGATTTGTTTTATTCAGATCTCTGCAATCTGCAGTGCCTGGAATTGTCTATTATTCACCAGTTAAGTGAACATATATGTCTATATATATTCCGGAATTCATCCTGCTTATTCTAAAGTCAATGTCTATTGTAGTGTTCTAGGGGAAGAAGTAATCGCCCATCTGTATTCTTGAATTTCAATATATAATTAATAATGTGAACTAACTATTAAATAGATTAGCAATTATACTACTTGACTCTGGTGAACATATTGGAATTTGTATTTAAGGAAGGATTTTTGAATAATTTTCTAGACGTTAGAAGTGTTATGCTTGTTCTGACAAGCTTTTTAATTACAAATATCATTCAAACAACGTGAAAGACGTTTATTGGATCGTATTGTGCATTCTTATATATTCAATGAGATGTTTTGTTAATTTCTGGTAATAAACAAATGTATGTTCAAAAGCCTCGTTTGTTAAAATTCTCGTAAATGTTGTTACATATCGTCTTCGCCGAAATTATTTTTGACATCTTCAGAAAGTAGAAGCTGGCTAATTCATCACAAAATAATGAAGAATTTTTTAACATCGTGTAGACAAGTAGTATAAACAAAAAGTTCATGTTCACCCATCAGAATGCAAATTAGTCGATTATCTGGAAACAATGCCTGCTTTGTCGTGATTCTTTCTTCTTTATCTCTACTTCTTTGCATTTTGTGAATAATATCAATGCATCGATGCTGACACAGAACAAAATTTTACAAATTGATCAGTATTTGTCAAAACTTCAAGTATTCGATTCTATCGGGACATGATTTTTATTCTTTAATGACCCTCTGTGATTAATCCATCATACTCGCATCAATCCAGTGATTGCACAGTAACAACAAGTCGTGTCTGATGTTTATTCCATGCTGTTGACGCCGGATTGTTGTACAGTTTATCAAATCGTTATAGAAGTGTTTTTGATATTAGATATAGATTTAATTAACCAATACATCGTAGTTTATAAGATGAGTTTAGCAGTCAAACTCATGCAGGTATATTGCACATGAAATATTCCCACTTCAATAATCCTTGACGGAATATAAAAATATTGGAAGCCTTAGAAAAACTATTACGATCTCCAAGATATAACTCAGATACTGTAATCATATTGCACTGGAGAGTGTTTCTTCATTGTTTGATGATGATTCCGCTATTTTGATACAATTGGAAAAATTTAATTTCGCCATTCAATTAGTGCCTGCAGAATGAACCATGTTTTGTTTGATCCATAGGTGAATGTTTGCAGTCTTATGTCAACAAATACGTGTGATCGGGTGATTACGTTACTCTATTTATTGGTTTATAAAATCAGGAAAATATTTATCATTATGACAATAAATAACTTTCTACAGTTGAAGGAATATTGGATTTGTAATTCCTCTAGCTTCATAGGAACACTAAACTATGGGAGCTTCTTGAACAAATGATGAAAATGGGTGTTACAACAATGACAGATTATCGGTTTTCGTTACTTTGTATGTGGCTGGTAATTTTTAAAGGATGTATAGCACCGGTATCAATTCATCAACTAGCACAAAGGCCAATTACTACCTCGAAAGGAAAGATTAGAGGGGTGTTAGTTGAATTCCCAAGGGAATCTCAACTCCGCACAGTTGAAGGATATTTCGGAATACCTTTCGCCTCTGGGTCATTAAGATTTATGCCACCGTCTGAAGTAATAATGCATTCAAAATTTGTTAAAGAAGCAAATGATTCTTTAGCATGTCCTCAAATTAAATGGCGAGACAGGTTGTTTGCTGGAAGTGAGAAACCTAAAGGTTCCCAGATCCACTTTTATAGGATAATGCAATCAACAAATCGACAACATGAATCTTGCCTCTTTTTGAATATTTTCGTACCTCCCAGGGGTAAGTACTTTTTACGGTTTTCTTTTATGTTTCACTCTTTTACATATTATTTGTGTTTGTCTATACTTTCAAAGCTACAGTTTAACAACCAGTCATCATTAAAATATAGTGAAGGATAAAACGCTTAACCCGCCGACTGTTTAATGAACTGTTTAAATAAAATAGCTTTATACTTACTTGTAAATCAAACGAATTTTTCATACATTGGTCCATTTCTGAACAATATTGATACAATTACAACTTTGGTACTAATATTTAAATGCTTTTCGTTTAAATAGTTAATTTGGGGATTTTAAGCCATTACAAGTTGAAGTAATCAAACTTTTCTACACATTTTAAGACTGTTCTACTATGTTTTCATTTTTTCCTACTTTATATATATATGTTGAAATTACCCTGGATATTCATAACTTTGTTTGATACCTCCCATTTCTATGTCAAGGTTGATAATTTATAATTCTTTACAATTTGAATGAATACAGTATGTGGATTTTAAGGTGTTGTGAAGACGCCATTAAATTCTGACGATTGTTTTTTTTTAATGTTTTTCTCATACAATAATCATGACAATATAAGCTTATACATTCCGAATGATTGTTGAGTTCTTACAAAAACGTATTTGAACCTAATCAATAGCAGATATCAAAGAAATCTAATGAAAATGACAAGATCTCCTAGTCACTGAGTCGTGAGAAATTCTTTCTATCTGTAACAAATGGTACCGTCTCTAATGATTAACTTCTGTTGGACTTTAAAGGCAGTGCAAAGAATAGCTGACTATCAAAGAAAAATCGGAAATTATCAAAGAGTTGTAAAAAGCCCTTGAAATCAAGGATCTCATTAAAGAAATTGTTGGACTCAGTTTGTTTCATTAATCGTAAATTGAATATATTTTCCGGCTCTAGAAATAAATACTGCTAAATGTTTAATGGTAGTCTGTGTATTAAGAGCCACCTCGAAACTTAACAAATAGTAATATGTCAGATCGCATGTTATCAACAGTAATTGAAGCATAAAAGATTTTAAAAATAGGTATCCACTGTATATCATACAATGACAATGAGAAAAGTGAATGTTCTGGGTCTTTCTTTCGTACGAATAAATATAAAAAAAAGAACAAGATTAAAAATCGATGTATTATAAAAACGAAATAAATTGAGAAATATATATAAAAAAAAATCACTATGATAAAACTAAAAACCGATACCAAATAGTAAATGCAAATATAAATGTAAGAACAATTGAAGACAAGTGCAAATTGTAAAATTAAACATGAACAAAACTAGTCTGATTTTCCAGACAGTACATGTTCTCAATACAAGACAGATTTCTGAGAAGGTTTTTCATACGAGACGGTTTTCTGTTCTTTTATTTGTCGATAAAAAAGTTACAAGTAATACAAACTTTTGAAGGCAATTATAATGTATTGAAATAATAAAACTGTAAAAAGACCAAAAATATGAAAACAAGTATAAAATACAACAGCATATTATCTTATGATACCTGGTTTTGAAATACTATGATATGCAATAAGGAGCTGAGGCTTACTTTCAATCTTATTCAAAGTTGTGGCTTACAAACATTTGATAGTTCTCAATATAAATTGGTTTAAATCCACGAATATCAAATAATCCCAATTATTACACACACAAAAAAAAAAATAAGTACGTGTAAACATTTTTGTATCATAGGAATTCTCGCAAATACTAAAATAGACCATCAATCAATCAACAACCACACATGAAGATTTTATTTCGGTCGTTTTGATTTCAAACCATCGTATCAGCAAAAAAAGTAATGGTATGTGTGCAAAACTAAACGGTAAAAAAAAGTGTTCTTTGATTTCAATCTGTCGTATTACAGAATGAAAAACCTACAAAGGAACCATAAAAAATCACCATATATAGCCAGATGAAAAACGACAACAACAAAAAACAACAGTTCACAAACACTTATTCAGACAAGTCCAATTTTGGCAGCACGAACCCCTCTATGGCAAAGTGGTCAAAGAAGTTCATTTACAGGTATCACAGGTCTGTCACTTCTAAGGTTGTGAGTTCGAATCCCGCTCGTGACGAGCTGTTCGACTCCGATCCTAATTGACAAGGATTGCTAGTTTCCTACCGGAGGTCGTTGGTTACCTCAGGGTACTCCTGCGTCATTCATCAATAAAGAATGGCCGCCATCACAACACAAACAAACAAACAAACCTAGATAAAACCGGATTCAGCGGAATGCTTAGTAGATTACTCCTTTAATGGATTTACACACATATAAGAAGTGCATGAAAATAAACGATAAACGTAAAGGGAATGCGTTTTGAAAGAAAAATCCTTTTCCTTAAAGTCCTTCCGGAGATACAAATAGTTCAAATTTAATGTTTTGAACTGTGCATTGAAAATGTATACATCTTTTGTTCGAAATCTTCTTAAGAATTGTTTTTATAAATATCTGAAAATTTAGAAAATATATCAATTATGAATTTATGATAGTTCAAACATAAAAATCGCAAGCACCAGATCACTTTGAAAATAAACTTTGCATTTTATATAAAATTATATGAGAAAAAATAATTTGATGAAAAGAATCTGGAAATGCGCAAAAAAGACTAAAAATGTATATCAAAATATCTTAGTCTGTTTCTGGTTTAATTTAGTGGTCTAGAAATGTTTGTTGTATTTTCTTGTACTATGTAATACTTTCCACTGAACAAGTGTCTTTTTGTAACGCAAAATTCCTAAAGAGACAAAGAATGCTTTATTTACTTGTGATAATAATTAAAGCATAAACATTCAGCTGACACAAGTTAGCAGAAAACCTATATTTTATCTATTTTCGGAAACTCTAAATCGCCATGTTTGTCAGGAATTTCAGGGTGATAAATTGTAATGAATATTTTAATTCTACGTTTCCTTAAAAACATGATAAATCTTAACTTAAATGTCTACAATTTTTCTTCGAATTGAGACTTTTATCGAACCTTTGAAACAGTTAATAATATATATTCACCATCAATTGTAAATGTTAGTTGTCGAAAAAGTTCAAGAACGCATTGAATGTTTAACAGATTGATATTACTTTCAGTCACTTCGGAAGATATTCAAGGTCTCTGGTTTCTTAAAACGAAATTATAGTTGATAAATACTTGTTATATTTTTGTTTCTGTCCCAGTGTTGATTCAATACATTAACGCTCAAAATATATATTTTGGCTTGTTAAATTTCTTAAACAAGTATGTATCTAACTTAGCTGCTTCAAAATCTAAAACTTGCTACTTAATGGTATCAGGCAAGTGCAACCGACAAAGTATGTGATGTATACAATATATGCATCTTCTAATAAGGATGTCCCACCCCGTCATGTCATCATTAATGTACATAATGTGTTATAACCACCACTGTTTATTCCTTACCCACCCCGCCATGCCATCATTAATGTACATAATGTGTTATAAGCACCACTGTTTATTCCTTACCCACCCCGTCATGTCATCATTAATGTACATAATGTGTTATAACCACCACTGTTTATTCCTTACCCACCCCGCCATGCCATCATTAATGTACATAATGTGTTATAAGCACCACTGTTTATTCCTTACCCACCCCGTCATGTCATCATTAATGTACATAATGTGTTATAACCACCACTGTTTATTCCTTACCCACCCCGCCATGCCATCATTAATGTACATAATGTGTTATAAGCACCAATATTTATTCCTTACCCACCCCGCCATGTCATCATTAATGTACATAATGTGTTATAAGCACCAATATTTATTCCTTACCCACCCCGCCATGTCATCATTAATGTACATAATGTGTTATAACCACCACTGTTTATTCCTTACCCACCCCGCCATGCCATCATTAATGTACATAATGTGTTATAAGCACCACTGTTTATTCCTTACCCACCCCGTCATGTCATCATTAATGTACATAATGTGTTATAACCACCACTGTTTATTCCTTACCCACCCCGCCATGCCATCATTAATGTACATAATGTGTTATAAGCACCACTGTTTATTCCTTACCCACCCCGTCATGTCATCATTAATGTACATAATGTGTTATAACCACCACTGTTTATTCCTTACCCACCCCGCCATGCCATCATTAATGTACATAATGTGTTATAAGCACCAATATTTATTCCTTACCCACCCCGCCATGCCATCATTAATGTACATAATGTGTTATAACCACCACTGTTTATTCCTTACCCACCCCGCCATGCCATCATTAATGTACATAATGTGTTATAAGCACCACTGTTTATTCCTTACCCACCCCGTCATGTCATCATTAATGTACATAATGTGTTATAACCACCACTGTTTATTCCTTACCCACCCCGCCATGCCATCATTAATGTACATAATGTGTTATAAGCACCACTGTTTATTCCTTACCCACCCCGTCATGTCATCATTAATGTACATAATGTGTTATAACCACCACTGTTTATTCCTTACCCACCCCGCCATGCCATCATTAATGTACATAATGTGTTATAAGCACCAATATTTATTCCTTACCCACCCCGCCATGCCATCATTAATGTACATAATGTGTTATAAGCACCACTGTTTATTCCTTACCCACCCCGTCATGTCATCATTAATGTACATTATGTGTTATAAGCACCAATATTTATTCCTTACCCACCCTGCCATGCCATCATTAATGTACATAATGTGTTATAAGCACCACTGTTTATTCCTTACCCACCCCGCCATGCCATCATTAATGTATATTCTGTGTTATAAGCACCAATATTTATTCCTTACCCACCCCGCCATGCCATCATTAATGTACATTCTGTGTTATAAGCACCACTGTTTATTCCTTACCCACCCCGCCATGCCATCATTAATGTACATTATGTGTTATAAGCACCAATATTTATTCCTTACCCACCCTGCCATGCCATCATTAATGTACATAATGTGTTATAAGCACCACTGTTTATTCCTTACCCACCCCGCCATG